AAAAAAAAAAAGGTAACAATAAGGAAAAGATCTTTGCTTCTTCGCCTCTAACTCTTAAGTAGGCCCAAGTGAAAGGAAAATCTCGACTTGCTTGAGTAGAGTTCTCGCTGAACGATTTCAGTATCTAATAGCCTCTTGTTGCAGTAGCTCCATAATTCTATGCACAGCATTCTACACAGAAGCTAGAAACTGTAACAACAACTTGCAGGATTGTCTTGGGTTCCTTTCTATTTCAAGTGAAGAGAGGTGACTTTTTGATAAGGTTATTTGCTTCTCTCTCATAGAGAACAACCTCTGTTGGTGGTGTAACAATAACTTCTGCCCAGAGCACTGCAGAAGAACCCTGATGTCCTTGCTACCCTAAATGTTGCCCATCACAAAAGTGAAAACCTACGATCATAGCATGGAATGATTTTATAAAGAAAATGTGCATTGCTAGTTTCTTTAGCATTTAGAGCTACTGGATTTTACTTCAAAATGAAAAAAAGACACAGAGGCCTACATTCTACCAGAATTTCATAAACACAAAGAAAGGAATTCAAGTATAAAAGAGCACCAAGAAGAATTAGAGATGTGTAGCAAGATGATTCAGGAACATCCGGGACACTCTCGGGAGTGTTGTCAATTGTATTTCATTTTCACAACTGATTACAGGCCAGAGTGAGAGCACGCCAGAGACAGAGAGATGAGTCACGGGAAATCTGACACGGTGCACTTTACTTCAGCATGCCTCGTGGAGGGCCAAGGGGAATAAGCAAACGAAAGCCTGAAATAAAAACAAGTCATGTCTAGTCTCGATAACCTCAAAGGGGCAGGCTGTTATTTAAAATTCCTAAAATCAGAAGAAAGTAAAAGGGAAATGTGTCTGCCAAAACAGAAACAAACCTCATGTTAACGAAACTGACCTTTTATCTCAATGCAGTGAATAACTGTCTCCTTTCAGGAATCTATAGTCTCAGCCAAACATTCAATAGTTGTAGTTTCTCTCTAGGATTAGTTTGTGGGAGTCCCCTTCCATGTCCTCTTGATCACCAGGAAATAAATCGACGAGTTTCTAGCAGCTCACCCCAGAAGACCCAGTTCCCTGGACTAGCGGATGGAGATGGTCAGACCCTGTAGTTTTCCACACGGGGGCTGGGAGCAGCCGAGAGTCTCTCATGCAAGGGAGTGACTTCACCCAAGTCATGAAGCCGTCTCTTCCTCACGCGGAAGACGGTGAAACTGCTCGGCCGGGGAGCAGAGCCTGTCACTGTCTGCTCGGGGGGGCGGGGGGAGGGCAGAGGTGGTGGCACCACACATTTCACCACAGATAACAACTTGGTTGTGGCTAGAGACTAAAAGTCACTCACAATTTGGATATTCAAAAAAAAACAAAGCTCACTGGGAGGCCGGTGAGGAAGTGGTTCAAGCAACTAGGTGAGAGCTGTGGGCTGCCAGAGGAGACCTGGAGGAGCAGCTCCGAGGACCACAGGGACAAAGAAAGGCCCCGAGAGGGCGCCCCGCCCGGCAAGGGGAGCCTCAGCTCAGCTCTGACCGTGGCCAGCGGCCAGCGAGCCCGATCCCGCAAGCCCTGAGTCGCGCCTGATTCAAGACCAGAAAGGGGGACACGGGGCCGAATCGGGAGACCAAGGACGACGTTTCCATGGGCACAAGGACAAGTGTCTGCCGGCACCAGCTCTGTTGTTATAACCAGCACCACTCTTTCCCCCCGGGCCTGCCTGGGCCCTCGGAACATGCCACCATGCACACACGAGCCCGCGGCTTCAGCCTGCACAGTCAAGAGCTGCCTTCCCAGGGGCGCGGGGAGACTGACCCAACAGCAAACATAAGGCGCACACAGTGACAACAGCGAGGGTTGTTAAGAAAAACAACAACAAAACAACAAAAACCACCTGTCGTTTTCTTTTTCAGGCAAACAATGTCCATTGTGACCCTCCATGATCTTGCCCACAGTTGGGTCTTGAGCTGATCACGCGGTGACGACTGTGGGCCGGCGCCTGAACCAGGCCTTGGCGTCCTTTTCCGAGCCAGCTGCCCACCCTGCTCCGCCCCCCCGCTAATGCTGTCCGGGGCCAGTCTCTCCTGGGTGGGCAGAGGGGGTGTGGGCGGGGTGCCTGATTTCAGAAATACTGGGGGTTTCCTGCAATCCCCAGGATAGCATCTGCCAGCTAACTGGCACCCAGCCAATGTTTTTTAAATTAATTAATATAATCGAATATACTGGATCCAGTATCATGCAATTTATTCAACCCTTTGACACACCTGCCCTTTGTTTTTAGGTCCACAGTATACAGATGAAGAGATTAAGTAGCAGGGAAGAGAAACTCACTCACGTTCGCGCAGGGCCCGCCCAGTGTAGTCCACGTGCTTACGGACGCCGAAGCCAGCCAGCCCCGGGCCCTCCCTGGTGGCGCGGGGGTTGGAGCCTGCATGACGAAGCGAAGTCAAGCTCCACTGCGAGTTCAATCCCGCCCCGTGGTGACCCACGTGGCGCCTTCAGACCTCTCCTGTCCCGCCCGCTGCTCCCCTCAGCAGTTGGCCTGTTCTGCTCCCTACTCTGTCTCTGGTGACTCCTCTCCCCGCCCCTGCACCTCTGGCCTGTACCAGAACTTAGTGCTTAAAAGAGAAAAGAAAGAAACCAGCCAGCCCCAAAGCGGCACTCTGCTGTAACTGAACGAGAAAGGCGTGAGCAGCGAATAACACGCAGCATGACCCTGGGACCTCACCAGGACACTGGCCTGGCTTCTGTTTCCAAGTTCACACCTCTGTTTCTGAGGCCTTGCGGGCCTTCCACGACCGGCGGCTCCCACGGCCCCATCGCAGCGCCCTTCTCACTGCTCCAGGAGGCCTGGACTGCGCCCAGTCTCTTTCTCACGCTGCCCAGCACACTGCCGGCCCAGCGGCCTCGCTCCTGGGCCTCCAGCTCCTCCTGGCCGCACTCCCGGCCAGTCAGCTTCCTCCTGCTCCTGATGCCTTTTCTCTCCCCTCCAGTCGCCATCCCTTCCCGCCGCAGCTCTGAAACCAACTTTATAGACATCATTTCTCTGCATACAAAACTATCCCTCTCCCTCAGTCCACAGATCAGAAGACTTGTCTCAACATCATCCACAATTGTTTATTACGTAAATACAGGGCTCTCTTCCCAAGTGCCAAGGAGGCAGGATGGAGTTTCTATCTTAGTGTGCCGATTCGCAGGACCTAGGATAGCACCTGCCCACTAACCGGCACTCAGCAAATATTTCATGAAATAATATAATCGAGTATGGAGGATACAGTATCACGCAATTTGTTAAACCTGTTCACGCACCTACCCGTTGTTATTACGATCATGTTAGACACATGAAGCGATTAAGTACCAGAGAAGAAAAATGCACACAAGTTCTCAGCAGGAAATTAAACTTCAACTTAGAACTTAAAAGAGCTGCGGCTGAGGCCCTCGGCTCAGCTCTGTTCACCCTGGCCACAGCGCGCACAAACAGCACCGCAGCACCTGTGTGAACCAAGCTTCCAGACGAGAATTCAAACCGTCAGTGTTGTCTCCCAACGCAGGACCAATTTACTGACACCGATTTCCTGCTGCTTTGAGTCCAGGCAGCTTCTAAGGAGTTGTACATCAAGACACAGCAGAGTAAGCGACTTCTCAAGTATAAATAAAAAGGAAATCAAAAGCCACTTACCATGATTCCAGTAAGCAAGCAGACGCCTTTCCCACAGTAGGTGTTAGGAACCATGTCACCGTAGCCGATGGAGAGGAAGGTGATTGATATCAACCACATCGCTCCCAGGAAGTTGCTAGTGACATCCTGCTGGTCGTGGTACCTGGAAAACAGCAAACGAGCCGCGACTTTAAAACCAGCCTGCAGGTGGGGCCCAGGGCAGGTTTCCTCCACACACAGAATTCACTTTGTAGCTTCCCCAACTGCTCCCGTCGGAGACTTGCAAAGCTCGTGATTACAAATAACACTGAGGTCAGACCCCAGCCAACTGAAGCGAAGGTGCTCAACCTCAAAATGCTCAGAGCGACGGTCAGTACCAAAACTGCCATTCTCGCCGGTGTGAGTGGACGGACGGATGCCCATTTGCTGTGAAGCTGGACGAAGGCCAGTCTCAGTCCACACCTTCCCGCTGTTGGTGGGAGTGTTGACTGTTCTGGCGCCTATGGAAACCGATATGGAGGTTCCTCCAACGACTAAAAATAGAAATACATGTGACCCAGCAACTCCACCTCTTATTTATCAAAAGAATGCAAAACATTAACTTGAAGGAACAGATGCGCTTTCAATTCAGTGCAGCACTATTTACAGCAGCCAAGTTACAGGACCAAGCTAAGCGCCAGTGACAGAACAGCTCATTAAGAAGCGTTGGTATATACATGACCGAGGACTATCGAGCTATTAAAAACTGATCAGCTCTTTGCCATTTGCAACAACATGCATGGAAGTGGAGAGGATTATACTAAGTGAAATGAATCAGAAGGAGAAAGAAAAAAGCTGGACGACTGAACATATATGGAAGAGAAACAATATAAATCAACTTAAAAACGAAATGAAAAGAAACCCTAGAAATATGCTAGAGGGGCCCTCCCTGGTGGCACCACGGGTTAGGACGCAGCACTGCAAGCTGGCCGCAGCCCCCTCAGTGTGAGTGACCCCTGGCCCCAGAGGGGACCCACATGGCACAGCCGACCTCGCCAGTCCCGCCCGCTGCTCCCCTCAGCTAGAGGATTGAGGGTGGGGTTGAGGGTTGAGGGTGGGATTAGGAACAAAGGGAAAAAGGGGCCCAATCATCCGTGGAAAAGGGAGACGGGCGCTTTGGTGCTGGCCTGGCATGATGATCAACATCTGAGGAAGCGCAAATCTATTCTCCTAGATGATACACAGCGAGTGCCCTCCTGGCCGGGGCCCACAGGAAATCTCAACTGGCAGAGAACTATCGGGCTGGTGTGGTCTCCCTGCAACACTTTTGCCTTGGTTTTCAAAATGTGGGCAGTAAATGACTGAAAATTACATTGAGGAGCATTCACAGAAACATTTAGGCAAGTGCACTCTCCAGTTGCTTGCTTGTAATACATTAGTTTTAAATACACAACTTTGGCCCTCCGTGGTGGCACAGCGGGTTAAAGCACAGCACTGACAATCTAAAGCCGCTTCCGCATGAGTTCGATTCCCGCCTGCCCAGGAGGTGACCCACATGGTGCGGCAGACCTTTCCTCACCCGCCCGCTGTTCCCCTCAGCAGTGTACTTCGTCGATCTGCCTGTTCTGCTCCCCACTTTGTCTCTGGTGAAGCCCCTTACCGCCCCTGAGCCTCTGGCCTGTATCCCAGTTCTGTATGCACAAATAAATAAATCTTAAAAAAAAATATTTAAATACGCAACTTCTCCCAGTCTTCATCTGACTCTTTGCCAAACACTGTCAAGTATTATGACATTACATATTTTAGTAAAATTTATTACATGCTATGCACATTATATAGGTCAGAAAGTATAATTCTGTATTGGAAGACAACTTGAAATATATTTTTTTTAAACTTGAAATATTTTTCTACAAGTTGGTGCTTCCAGGCTTGGAATTCAATGGAAAATTAACCTTTTGCTTGTGAAATGAGAGAAAGAAAAAAAAAAAAAACAGTTCGAAAAATAGCTCAGAATGACAAGAACACCTCATGTTTATGTTATGTTCCAATATACTCAGTCAAGAAGACGTGGCTAATTAGGAACCTTACCAGATACTGTTAGAACAACTGGAATTTCTTTCTTGGTTACTCAGAAACAAATGTTAAGGTTAATCAACATGGTACCACTGCTTAGGCTAACACCTCTAGGTTCTGAACTTGTGTTAGACCCATCCACTGTGAGTACTTCCTAGGTACAAATGAGATGGTTATACGTTTCCAACCATTCCTCACAGTTAACATTCACCCCACAAACTCAAACCTCCTCTAAGAGAAGTGTTCTGGCAAAGACACGACAAAATGACTCATAGAACAAACTTTAGATTCTGATCGATACTGTCTTATATAATTAAAAATGCATTTAAAAGATCCAAATTAATTCAAGGAAGGCCTGATGATCTCAAGTTTTTAAAATAAGAACTCTGCGATGTGGTGAGAGGACTTACTGCCTTGCTTCATGGCACCACCTGCTTCCCAGGCATAGAGCTCACAAAGCCAGGAGCACAGCTATACAAGCAGCAATGTGTTCCTTTTTTAATCCTCCAGTTCTTTCTTCTTTTACTTTATATGTGTGTGTATATACATATATATATATATATATATATATATATATATATATATATATATATATATATATACACACATATATATATATGCACATACATATATATATATATTTTACATCTTCATTTTGTACATTTTTTCATCTCAGTTGTAACCCCCGTGGACTTCCCACCACCGCTTCACCCATGTGCCAACCCCATAGTCCCATGTGCTCTTCCTGCCTCAATTTTGATCCTATTCCCCTTTCAACCCCCATAGAATATCTGGTTTGTAGTTGTTAGTTGATGTTCGCTTTTACCTCATCACAATTTTTTTTACCGATCCTTTACAGTCCTGCTATGAGTGAGACCATAGGGCACTTTTGTTTTTCTTTCTGCCTTATTTCACTAAGCATGATCCCTTCCAGATCCATCCATGTTGCTGCAATGAGTTCATCTTTTGATTGCTGAGTAATATTCCATTGTGTGCATGTACTACATCTTCTTGATCTAGTGATTTATTTTTGGGCATTTGGGTTGATTCCACATCTTCCCCATTGTAAATAGTGCAGCAATAAACAGAGAGGTGCAGGTGTTATTTGGAATTAATGTTTTTGTGTCCCTTTGGAGGTTTCTCAAGCTGCTAAAAATGGAGCTTCCATATGATCCAACAATTCCACTCCTAGGTATCTACCCAAAAGAGATAATTCTCATTTCTTCATTCATTGCCAATGAATGAAGCAGGTCTATCACAGTTTCCTACATCACTACACAGTTTTCTACATCCGACAGGACACTTTCTGTATGCGCTCAATCACCAGGGCCACTGTTCCAAATGAGTGAGTTCTCCCTCTCAAGGCAGCCTCTGTCCAGCACCCTGCATCACCCTCAGCACCTTCCACAGCAAGGCTAGTATGGCTATGCACAATGGCTGGCAGTTAGGCCTCCATCTTTCCCGGCTCTCTTCTCTGCAAGTTGATTTCCAGCTTTTTGGGACACCTTCCTCCACCTTCCTGTCCCTGATTTGAGAATCTGCTCAGGGGATCCCCTGTACACATTCTGCATTGTAGGTGATCAACATGAAAGCCCTCGATGGCCCCACAGGTTTTTTGGTTTTTTTTGCCAGTCAGCCCTTGCAGAACCCTCCAACAACATTAGTTGCTATTAGCTTAGGTCGTGAGATATGTAATAGATGACCTGCTCATCAGACATGCTCTCAGAATCTACATCACCAAGAATTTCATCTGTAGTCACTGCGCCCTATCCACTGTCACATCTTCACACAGTGCTCAGGACAATTAGGCAGAAGCCTCTCTGAAGCAAGACAGAGTCACCCAGCAGCCAAGGCAAGAGGTCCCTGTGAGATGAGCAACAGCCGAAGCGACTCATGCTCTGACTGGAGACAACCTGCAGGATAGAGCCCAGGCAGGGAAGCCAGGCAGAGCACCAGTGTCCTCAGGTTAGGGACAGAGCTGGGTATGTAGCTGGATCAAGAGTACATGAGACCAAAAAGCAAAGAGACAAGACCTGCACCAAGAGACCCATGGAGAACACCTCTGGAATATTCTGCTGAGTGGTGTCCCACGCATGTGTATAAGACTGCACCTGTACTGTGTCCATGAAGTGGCACTGTGGCACCTGAACAGACTGGAGGAGGTGGCCTAACATCAGGCGAAGACAAGAATGGAGAAGTTAAGCCACAGAGTACCAAAGTGTGCAGGTACACAGCCAACCCTAATGGAACCACTAACAACCCACCAGAGGCTACTTCCCCCAATAAAGGACCTAAGGTTGAATAACGAAAAGCCATCCAAAAAGAGGCGGTAGTAGAAAAGAACACAAAACAGAAAACAAAAGGCAAAAAGACATTCAGTCATGCAGGCTGTAACTACATTAAAAGTGAAAGGACTAAATCCTCCCATTTAAAAGGCACAGATTATCAGGGGGCCCGTGGAAAGTTACAATTTGGGGAAACCCATATACTGGAAACAGGTGGGAAAGGTCCAGAGATGAAAACTGGAGAGGACATATTGATCCTTCTTCAAGGGACATACTGATCCATCTTCAAGAGCTACCGAACTTTGCAAATACTAGGTACGTGCAAAAGAAAGAAAAGTAATGAGAAATTGGAGTAAGAGAGAACAAGATTGAAAGGAATAATGAGGTAATAGAACACTGCATTCTATGCAGTGAGTACGAGAGAGAAGGCACATCGAGAGAAAAATATACAACCAATCAGCAACATCACAGCGTTCACTAATACAACACTGGCACCTGAAATTATAGTTCAAAATTCAAGTAAAACATAAAATCCAGCAGGTGCAAATACCTTACAAAAGCCCCCCACCGCCGCCCTGAGGTGATGGTGTTCCACAGTGAAAAGCAGCAGCTGTACAGTTAGCCTGTGACAACTGCCGGCACACCCTCGGGGCCTGAGCATTTTCAGTGCTCGGATCCATGATCCTTTCTCCTACTTTTCTCCCGAGTCATAAAAACCACGGACAGCTGTAGGAACTTGGGGCTGCCAAGGAAGACTTCACATCAGTACCACAGAGCACCGCACCGAGCGTCAGAGCTGGCGGTGGCAACTACCTGCAGAGCTCCC